ATTTGGCTTAGGTTGGAGTTTAAGTAAATGGAATGTGGAATGGAAATGTAATTTGATTTTGAAAAACTGAGTCCAATAAAATTAATGAATTATTATTACCTCTTAAAATATACTCCAAAAACTTGACAAAAATTGACTCATTTGATCTGCTCACTACTTGCTGCCGTGGTAGATGAAACCTTTATCAAATCTTTCGGATATGACAACAGTAGATTGTTGTAATCTAGATTATAATAAAACGATTAGTAAATTTTGTAAAACGTAGCAAATTATAAAAATAGATAAAATTATATGAAAATAGAAGAGATAAATAAAATTAGAATAAATTTTGAAAAGATATAGATAAATAAACTTTGAATAAAATTTCTGAAACTCACTTACATAAATAATTAAATAATTATCACATAGAACACAGTAAAACTTAGAAGGTAAAATATAGCAAATATAGTCAAGATAGTAAATTTAGTAAACTTGGTAAATAAGATATAATAATGATTTTAAATTTAGTAAAACTTAGTAGATAATGTATAGCAAAATAGTAAATTTATTAAAACATAGCATAAAATTAGTAAATAAATTTTATCTTAATCACATAGATAAAAATGAAATTTTGAGATTGAGTCAAAAACTAAATTTAGTAAAAATATTGATACAATTTGCCTGAGTTGTTCTACTTATATTCCTGAATTTCATAATGGCGTCTTTCGGCGTCACTTCCAGATAGCATCCTTTAGCATAAAACGCTGTAATGGCGAATTCCTCATGCGTCATGTGTACCTGGCATCGCTAAGAACTTTGGGTAGAGCTGCGCGTCCTTGTTTCCAGTTTTGGGGTCCGTTCACAGATAAGATTCTTGCGGATTTTTACCAGTGTCTTTATTTCGAATTATCACTTCTTTGGCCAATTTTTTGAATATTTTAGTTCGAATTTCACCGACTGCCACCATTTATGTTGTGCCAATTTGCAGAATATGATGAATTCACAATAAATAAAAGACTTACACATTACATAGAATATATTTATGAACAATCAGACGGAATTTACAATAAAATGCAAGTGTTTTCTATAATGGTAGAATTGAGACTGCCCGTGAACTGTCCCTTGCTCCTCTGTGGCGGGAACAGTGTTGCCAAAGGGGTACCACAGTGTTACCAATCCTTTAGTGTTACCACATGTTGTTCTATAATAAGGGTTGAATCCGAGAGATGGCGTAACAATATATAGGGTTCGATAGATAGTAGAGTCCTTTCTCTCCCACATTACATTGTCAGATTTTTTTCGACGATGGCTAGACGGATCTCTTTCTCTATCATACCTTGTCAGTTAGAGGGAGAGTTGAGGGAAATATTATATCATGAAAATAGTTGACAAACTATTATTTATAGAGCGATAGCACCACTAAACTACATATATTTATGAAGCACCTCTATTATCAGAAATTTAAAATTAATCCTTTCCACTCGCGAATTTCTGAAAAAGTCAGTTTGAACAAACACACCCACTATTCAGTTCGTGATATTTTGAAATAACCCTTCAAAATCTGAAGTAACTAGTGGTGTATGGCATCGTGTCTTAAGGCATATTGCTGGAACTTCCCTTACCGTACTGAAATATTCGAGGAATTTTAAACGTTTTCAAATGTATTATTACAAATTTTGTAACTTTCATTATTTTTCCTATCTTGTTATATCTGAGTGAATAAATCAAATGTAAATCATACGAGTAAATCAATTTATCTCCAGAACATTAACAATCGTCATTTCATTTAGAATTCAATTTCAAAAAAAAAAATAGTTGCCCAAATAGTTACACAAAATTAAAAAAGTGCTCCGTATAGTAACAATCTAAACGCATTTGCAAATAATTCAGTGCAACATTGTCACTTATGCTGTGCTTAGCTTGGCGGCATTTTCACATTTTTCAATAGTTTTCACAAAATTGGAAAAGTGCTTCGATACATAAACAGTCTAAACGCACTTGGATGAACATTTATACCAGAGTGGCGCTTAGATGGTGCTTAGCCTGGGTATTTTTTTAAATTTGTAATCCAAAATTACAAAAATATTTTCTGGAAAATAAAAAAAGATTTAATAATTTTTTATCCTCATAAGCAATTGTTTTGTCAATCCAAGCAGAAAGTTTTTTATATCATTCAAATCGGACGTTCCGTTCTCTTAAAAACTGAGTTACGTTTTTGGCACTTATTGCCTTTTTGCCTTTTCAAAATTTTACTTGTATTAACAATATGAAGAACGGATCAAATTTTCATAAAGGCAGATCTAGCGGTTTAGGAGACATAGTGAAAAAAGTGAAAAAATGCCATCTGGCGATCAAAAATGATTATTAGACATATGCACATCAAATTACCAGATATTTTATAGTGATTTTAACAGTAAGTATAAATTTTGTTTAAATTCCTCTCGGTTCCGTACCAATGTTTATGCGTTAGACGGCGACGCGGCGCTTACGCGCTTCGATATTTCGACTCTATGCAGTTAAAGCAGTACGATTGCTTTTAAAAAATGTTCTGAACTTCCATAATATTTCAAAATAAATTTTTCTTAAAAAAAATATTTTTTTTTTCAAATTAAATTTTAGTCGAAAATTTAATTAATTTTAAATTAATTAAATAATTAATAGTTTCTCAAAAATCTAATTTTTCAGAGTAATTTTTTTTCAAAAATGTTAATCATTTAAAAAAAAAATTTTTGGTACGGAAAGTTTCAGCAATTAATGCACGATACCATACACCACTAGTTTTATTATAATTTCATCCCACCAGCTCACTCTCTATTTCTCCGACAAGACCACTCGACCGTGAGCCCCATCATCCCCAAAAAGCACCCGAAGCACCCCAATAGCCCATTAAATGAACCACAGTGGATCATTCACATATTATATGTAGGGAAAAACAGGTTAAATATCACACAATATAATAATAACTTATTACTAGGTGTAAGTGGCATGTACATTTGTTGTAACTTTAAAATTATTTGATTAATATACATGATGTGTTCGAAAAATACTCCGACCGGTTGACGTGTTCGATTTTCAAGAACGTGTAATAAATCCACGTCGAATACTTTTAACCACTCATAAATTAATTAATTTATCATGAATTAAGTCGATTATTTACACAAATCGGGAAGTTCATGTAACTTGCCTCAAGGCAAAATACCAATACCAACTAGTTCATTTTTATAATTAAACCACTTGTCACAGGCCTCTAATATTCTACTATACACACACACATACTTTTTCTAAATTTGGTCTCAAACGATTCAGAATGACCTAAAAAGCGTCAAATCACAAGAGGAGAAATGCAGATTTCTAGCAAAAACATAAAGTTCTCAATCAGTTGAAAAAATCAAGTAAGGAAAAAATCCTATAACTAAGATATGATTTTATATTACTATTGTTTCTATTTTACCCCATTTTCACCTATTTTAGAGCGATCCACTTCGCAAAATCCCTCTCCGACTGTCTACGCGCAGTCTCGACGTCTGATGGAATTCTCTTCGTCACAAAAACTGATTTGAATTCATTATTCATCCCTTTTGTTTGAAAAAAAAAGAATAATTAATAATATAGAATTTAATGATACATATAAGGGTCAATTCTGCAATAACATAGCGTTGGTATGGTAATGCTATGCTATTCTTTTATCTTGGTAGTAAAAAAGTAACAAAATCTATCTATTTGCTGTACGATCAGGCGTATTTTACATATAAACAAAGCAAAGAAGAATGTTATGATAACTGCGCATTTGTGATACACAGTTTATATGTAAAATACGCCTGATGGTACAGCAATTAATTGAGTTTTCATAGTTTTTACTACCAAGAAAGAAGGATTAGATAGTGTTGCCATAACAACCGTAGAATTAGCATCATAGAGGAAAAAATAAAACAAAAAAAAGTGCAAAAAATGAGTTGTAGAATATGTCATTTAAGTAAAATAAATACATGTAACAATTTTGAATAATGTTTATTAGTAATATGGTAACACTCGTCGTGATGCACACATTTATTAGTGTCAATCATTATATACATTTATATAATGATAAATTATAAATTATATATTTATAATAGCATTAAAAATATGTATAATATTTAAAAGCAATAATGTAGTTAAAGTCATACCTCAAATGTGACATGATCGGTGTGTCATTGTAATTAGCATTTAGGACTTGAACCTTTATTAGAGAAATGAAGTAATTGCTGATTAATAAATTCTATACATAGTGGATTATGTTAAATAATGCCTAAACAAATATTGTTTTCACAATTTCACTTATCATATAATAATTGTGTTTTACGAACTTCATGTAAATAAAATTAACATACATTCATTGATTGTTTTACTTTTTCGTTGGCGATACAGTCTTATTCTTTTAGCAGCTGTAATATCCGTCTTGCCTAAAAAATTCATTTCTAAAAATATATAGTAACCACGAATAATACAAATTACTTCAATAAACTTACGTTTCTTATACGGCACAGATTTTTCATTTGTTTAATTATTTTCAGTAAAATTATTTACTGAAGACGGTATAAATTATTCTACCGATCCACATATTTTTTAATCAAATCAAGATTTCTACTAGGACTTAACCTTAAAATCTAATTACGTATGTGGCGTACGCCCTCGCACGTGACACGACGACCAATCACAATCGACTCGTATAGAAATGATATCATCGAGAGCGAATGACGAATCATTGGCACTCGACTCGGCCGTAACGCTTTTCCGTTGCATTTGAACAGATTTACACCCTATTCGCGCCTAAAGGAGTTTTACGAATATTGAAGAACAAAAATAGTAAAGTTTTGAATAAAACAAAAATAAATAGGTTTTGTAGTATGTATTGATATTATTAAACAATTACATACAAGGCACTGGTTAGGAGTAACAAACAGAGTAAACAAAGTGCAATTAATATGCTGTATCAATATAAGTTGAGTGATTGATGAGGATTATAAGGCCGGACAGTTTCTAGGCTAATTTATCAGTTTTGTTGACTGTTTTTTTACAGTTTGCTCTATAGAATGTTTTCTTTCATGTTGCCTTAATGAATGTTTAGTTTTGAATGTCTTATTGCATGTCTCACATTCATAAGGGCGTTCTTCAGTATGCACTGATAAATGCTGTTTTAAACTACTTAACTGTGAAAATGTTTTATTGCATATATTACACTCATGACAGCGTTCTCCAGTATGTACTATTTCATGTTGAGTTAATGTTTGTTTTGTTTTGAATTTTTTATTGCAAATTTCACATTCATAAGGTCGTTCTTCACTATGCACTGATAAATGAGATATTAAATTACCTATCAGTGCAAATCTTTTATTGCATATTTTGCACTCATGAGGCTGTTCTCCAGTATGGATCATTTCATGTCGGATTAAGCTATTTTTTGCCGTGAATGTTTTATTGCATATTTCGCACACGTAAGGACATTCTCCAGTATGAATTGATAAATGCTGTCTTAAATAACTTATCTGTAAAAATGTTTTATTACATATTTTGCACTCATAAGAGCGTTCTGCAGAATGGACTGCTTTATGTTGTTTTAAAAATTTTTTCATTTTGAATGTTTTATTACATATTTCACACGTGTAAGGTCGTTCTTCAGTATGCACTGATAAATGCTGTCTTAAATTACTTGACTGTGAAAATCTTTTATTGCATATTTTGCACTCATAAGGGCGTTCCCCAGTGTGAATCATTTCATGTTTTTGTAAGCCTTGTTTTGATACAAATGTTTTACTGCATGATTCACATTTATATTTCAACTTACTAGTTGTCTTACGATTTCCTGAAACTTGTTCTGTTGATTTGTTCGTACTATCTACTATCATACTTGATTCACTGATCTCTTCTTTACATAGAGAAGAATTTTCATCTAATACAGTTTTGTTTGTACTAGTCACATCATCTTGGTCGTCAATCGTCTCTAGTTTGATTTCCTCGTCAATTGTAACCTCGGATTTAAGAAATTGCTGCAGACAGAAATCTGATGTATTTTCACAATCATCAAATTCCTGTTTCACTTGAGGATAATCATCGATCGGTTCGGTTTTAATTGTTTTGTTTGAATTTGTTTCTTCAGACATGTTTGAAGTTTGTAGGTTATAATAAACAAACTGGTGATGAGTTCTTATAATTTGAGAAGTCTAAAAGTACAATAATAAATATGTTTCGATATTTACTAATTTGTTTATAGTTTAATAGAATATAATGCTAACACTGACCTTTTTACTAAATTTATCTTCGAATTTAACTTTAATAATTCCATTAAACACTTTGACATTTCTCCTCCATTTTGTTTTATAAACAACAGATCAAGTTGAAGTTAAAAACAATTCAATTGCGATTTTTTCGGCGGCAAAATTTGAAATCCGAATTTAATATTAGTTTCAACAAAAGATATAAAATCTGAATATACAAAAGTTTTAGAGGGGAGGACAAATATATATATATATATATATATATATATATATATATTGAATGGTAGAGTCTTGGATTTGTGTATATTTTGTAGAGTTTCGAACAAGAATCCAAAAATAATACAAAATAAAAAACAAGAAAAGTTTTTAAAAAAAAAAAACAATTTCTTTATTTAATTATTTGTTTATTGTCGACGTTTCGGAACTAGGTACGTTCCATCTTCAGGACATCTGTCAAGAAACATGATCTTGATGAGATTTTTGCAAACAATATGTTTAGGAAAAGAAAATAGATTTTTCTTAAATAATGAATTAAATTGTAAAAAATATAATAATGTACAGAAATATGATAATATGTTCAAAATAAAAATGATAAAAATAAATGAGTGGATTATCAAAACAGGATATTAAACATAATAGAAAATTTTTTTGAAAGTTATGGAAATTTTTTAAGAAAAGGTTAATGACAAAGTTGAATTAATTACCTGTATGTTTGAATATTTGTTAGCACTTTTTCACTAAACAAGCTTTTTTAACAAAAATGATTTTGTGAGTTAATTTTCGCCGAATAATTAGATTTTGTAAATCAAAATTACTAAAAAACTTTGTCTTTTTTAAAATTATTATTTGAAAACACAAATAATATTGTTCTCTGGATGTTGTTCGATTGGTTTACGAAAATTAACTAAATGAAATTGGTGTGCCCTTTGTAACACGTGTAAACACTTGAACGAGAGATGTGAGATTGTATGTGTGTGTTTTTATATGTCAGGGTGTGAATACTTAAATTGTTGGTCTTAAAAGAAAGTCGATATTAATTGTTTGTCAAAAAGTGTAAAAAATTTTAATATGAATCATGTAATAGGTTGTGATCTGATCTAATGTTGACACTGTTAGAAACGTTTATGAGGATGAGACAACTCTCCGCGAATAACCTTCTAAAGATGCAACTTTCGTGATATAAAATCTTTGGAGTGAAATTAAATGAATGGGCGTTTTCTATAGAGTGTTGTACTAGGGTACTTTTGAAATTTTTTTGTTTATGGTGGACCACACTTAGTTCATGTTGTCTCATTCTCTTGTGTACATATTGGGAGGTTTGTCCAATATATTGAAAAGCACAGTCATTACAAGAAACAGAATATACTACATTAGTATTGAGATTGGATGGGGTGGGGGATTTAATGTTCGTAAAGAATTGGTTGAAGGAGTGTAAGGATGAGCCTGATACTAAAATGTTTTCTTCTAACAAAATTTTGGCAAAATAATAATATAAATCTTCAACGTATGGTATGCTGCAGTAAATAAGATTGGTGTTTTTGATGTTAGTACTGGTATTGGGAGAATTAATTTGTGTTTTTAAGAAAGTTCGTCTTTTTTGAATAACTGAATGAATGAGATTTTTTGGGTAACCATTTTCAATTAGAGTTATTTTTACTAGGGATAAATTTTGTGGATGGAAAGTTTGGTGAGACAACAAAATAGCATGGTCTGTAAGGGAAATAATAGTGTTTATCTTATAGTTTCTGGGACAGTATGAGGAATAGTGTAAGTATCTACCCGACCATGTCGTTTTTCTATACCAATTTGTTCGAATAAAGTTATTAGTGTTGTAAACGGATACATCCAAGAAATTCAACCTTTTTACATGTGTCCCACATGAATTAATCCTAAACTCAATCGATAAACGTTGGCACACAATTTGTAACTTTACTGACTTTCCGAAAACAGTCTTCACTCATATTATCAACACTATTTTAAATTACTCCTATTTCCATTGCCAAGACAACTTTTATTCTCAAATTAAAGGCGCAGCTATGGGATGTCCCTTATCTCCCGGAATCATTGACTTAGTTTTACAAACACTAGAAATTTCCGTTTTCTCAACTTTAAAATTTCAAATTAACTTTTATATTAGATATGTAGATGACACTTTTTTTATCATTAACAAAAATCATATAAACACAGTACTAGATCTCTTCAATAATTTTAACAATAATATAATTTTCACACATGAACTACAAAATAACAACAGACTTAATTTCTTGGATGTATCCGTTTACAACACTAATAACTTTATTCGAACAAATTGGTATAGAAAAACGACATGGTCGGGTAGATACTTACACTATTCCTCATACTGTCCCAGAAACTATAAGATAAACACTATTATTTCCCTTACAGACCATGCTATTTTGTTGTCTCACCAAACTTTCCATCCACAAAATTTATCCCTAGTAAAAATAACTCTAATTGAAAATGGTTACCCAAAAAATCTCATTCATTCAGTTATTCAAAAAAGACGAACTTTCTTAAAAACACAAATTAATTCTCCCAATACCAGTACTAACATCAAAAACACCAATCTTATTTACTGCAGCATACCATACGTTGAAGATTTATATTATTATTTTGCCAAAATTTTGTTAGAAGAAAACATTTTAGTATCAGGCTCATCCTTACACTCCTTCAACCAATTCTTTACGAACATTAAATCCCCCACCCCATCCAATCTCAATACTAATGTAGTATATTCTGTTTCTTGTAATGACTGTGCTTTTCAATATATTGGACAAACCTCCCAATATGTACACAAGAGAATGAGACAACATGAACTAAGTGTGGTCCACCATAAACAAAAAAATTTCAAAAGTACCCTAGTACAACACTCTATAGAAAACGCCCATTCATTTAATTTCACTCCAAAGATTTTATATCACGAAAGTTGCATCTTTAGAAGGTTATTCGCGGAGAGTTGTCTCATCCTCATAAACGTTTCTAACAGTGTCAACATTAGATCAGATCACAACCTATTACATGATTCATATTAAAATTTTTTACACTTTTTGACAAACAATTAATATCGACTTTCTTTTAAGACCAACAATTTAAGTATTCACACCCTGACATATAAAAACACACACATACAATCTCACATCTCTCGTTCAAGTGTTTACACGTGTTACAAAGGGCACACCAATTTCATTTAGTTAATTTTCGTAAACCAATCGAACAACATCCAGAGAACAATATTATTTGTGTTTTCAAATAATAATTTTAAAAAAGACAAAGTTTTTTAGTAATTTTGATTTACAAAATCTAATTATTCGGCGAAAATTAACTCACAAAATCATTTTTGTTAAAAAAGCTTGTTTAGTGAAAAAGTGCTAACAAATATTCAAACATACAGGTAATTAATTCAACTTTGTCATTAACCTTTTCTTAAAAAATTTCCATAACTTTCAAAAAAATTTTCTATTATGTTTAATATCCTGTTTTGATAATCCACTCATTTATTTTTATCATTTTTATTTTGAACATATTATCATATTTCTGTACATTATTATATTTTTTACAATTTAATTCATTATTTAAGAAAAATCTATTTTCTTTTCCTAAACATATTGTTTGCAAAAATCTCATCAAGATCATGTTTCTTGACAGATGTCCTGAAGATGGAACGTACCTAGTTCCGAAACGTCGACAATAAACAAATAATTAAATAAAGAAATTGTTTTTTTTTTAAAAACTTTTCTTGTTTTTTATTTTGTATTATTTTTGGATTCTTGTTCGAAACTCTACAAAATATACACAAATCCAAGACTCTACCATTCAATATATTCCAAGAACATTATGGAACGAAATTTCTTTCAAAACTTATCAAGAACTGTAGATTACAAACAAATATGTTTAATGAAAAAATATTCAAAACTTAACTCTAAATATGCTAATGTTATTAACAAAAAAATATTTCTAATTCGATGTAAAAATGAATGGATTATACCGAATTTTATTTCTAATATTATAAACAAACAATTCTTATACAACACTTTCAACATCTATAAAATTGAACGACAAATTAATTACCTGAAAATGTCTGTTTTGAATCTAGAAATAAAAAATACTTTTATCTACATAAATTACTTGAAATCACAACTGGATAACATAATCAATACACTTTCCAATACTTTGAACAAAGACCTCTTAAATCAATTTTTAGCTTTTGAAAACTATAAATTTAACAAACATTTTAATACTACTAAAGAAAAACATATTAAAAAAACTAAAACTTTAATTCAAAAAAGAGATGACAACTATCCCTTCAAAATCTCTAAATCTTGTACAGATAAGTGGTTAGTTAATAAAACTGATATTTACATTCCAGAAAATGTTAAATATATTCTAGCATTAGGTCCAAAATTTGCATACTCTCCTCAGAAATACAGTAAAACAGATTTCATAAAAATTCTAAGTAATATTGAATACAACATTAGAAACATTGAAACAAACAAACAGAATAACATTAGATCAAAACTATGTGACAGACTGGTAAAACATATAAAGAAAGTAAATAATAAATTTCAAAACTTTCATTTAAAGAAACTCCACAAAGACATTTTAGAAACTAAAGCTTTCATTAAATCTAATAATATTATAGTTTGCCCAGCCGATAAGGGTAATATCACAGTCATTCTTGACAAAGAATTTTACAACAATTCCGTCCTTAACCTACTTAAAGATGATACAACATATAATATTTTAACAGAAGATCCCACACAACGTTTTTCTAGAATAGCTTTTAAATTAATCAATGATCTGAAAAACAAAAAACTAATTTCTGAGAATTTTGCTTTTAACCTAAAAATACAACACCCTATCTCCCCTAA